TAAAAGCTAAAAAATTTTTACATAAACGATGATCATCAAAGACACTCACATCTTACAGAGTCACATATTTCTCAATTATTTATTAGCATGACAGGTCATTGGTCAGTGCAGTCATATACTTTCATGAATAAATAAACGATAGGATTATGCATATTTCACAAGTATCCAGATGTGACTTAAGCGTAATTATAACCGATTATATCAGTGTCTTGGATAAAGTATATTTAATATTTTTATTCCAGGTAAATTGTGTTAATTTGTAAAGCTAATCTGAACCAAACAAAATGTCTCATTTTTATCTAATTTTCTTTAATGTTGGATGTCATTAGTACTTCCTCGTATAAAACCCAGAGATCTCTATATGTCTCATGATAAACAAATTCACGTTATTCATTATTATATCCCACACCTTATTGTTCACCAACATTAGTATAGATCTAATAGTCTGGGCCAATCAGACATATTAGTTCAAGGTCAAATAAAATGAGAAATATGCTGCTGAGTGTGTGGTAACATAATCTCGGTCACCGATCTAATTATCGCATGCTATAGCATGGCGAACGAAGAAATATTTTTATTCTCCTGTTATATCCAGTGGTATCATAAAATAAACTGAGTGTTGGATTTTCATTTCTACTCTCTCTCTATAGAATGTTCCATTGACAAGTTCAATAGAAACTAAATTGAAGTCAGTTACATCAAGTAGTAGTGGTAGTGTTAGTCAGACATCACCATCATGGTCTGTTTCTTTATCGCAGTACATTCGTACATCAGATGAAGCTTTGATGAAGGCAGCTCCAAAACTACTTGCTTATTTTGAAGAGAATCTTTTAACAATTTCAAGTGTAGAGGAATTTCTAGATGTTACAGGTAAATTGTTTGTTATTATTATCTTGTTTATTAAATCCGAATTGAAGATTTAACTGAACTATAAGTTATGGACAAATCAATCAGATTTAGGCTCAAAATTCATTTATTCATATAGCTGAATAACATTTTGACCATAATAGAGAATGTTATTTCATGTTAAAAAACTTAACCCGAACTTTTAACTCTAAATCCCAATCCTTATTCCTCATATTGGTTTTTCAGGGTCAGTTTAGTATCACCCAAAAGTCGTCTACAAATAATAGTCTCACCAAATATTTTTATGTGAATGATTAATCTTCATTAAATTTTATATTATCCATGCTATTCCAAGAGCATTTTTGTCAGTTAACAAATTATAATGTGTTGTGAAATGAAGGAGCTATTGAAAGAGATGTTCAATAAATTTCTGGATAGCTTTCACTATATGACACATGCAATAAACATTGAGAGATTTATGAAGTATTTAGTGACAATATGCAAGCGAGATTTTTCTTGCATTAAACATTTGTAAAATGGAGCGCAAAAGAGTTTGTTCATAATAGCTTAACTCACCCATAGTTACCCTGTTTGTGCTTTAATCTACATTAATATTTAGATAATTGTTTCCGTTGCGTTACTTCAAAATGAATATACACCACTATCGTACAAATTAATTACTAAATATTTCTGGTATATGGGGAATCTCGGAGATTGTAGAATTTTCACCGTTCAAATCCCGAACTGATCTTAGACTTAAAACATAGAAGGGCGTTTCGTTCTAGTTCGGGACTATTCAGTAGTACGCATTCACGACCCCACAGCCCAGGACCTTTAGCCATGCTCGTGAACACTTAACCTCTGGATAATACTAGGACGAGAAGGTTGCCCAGCGCTTCCAGGTTTTCACTGGCAATTCAAATAAAAACAGTTTGTGATTAAAACTATGAAAATTCTACAGTCTCCACAAATACCTCATACTACTAATAATTATGTGCTCGCCGGTGACTATCTTCGAGATGTAACTACTGGATTTCTTATAAAAAGCCCGTGACGAGTATGGTTCAATCATGTTGGGTTTGACGGTTATTCATCACAGGCAATGGATGGGAGTCGCGTAACACTAAGGATTGATTGAAGTTAGACACGCACACCTTTGGATCCTGACTCTGATTCGGCATTAAGCGTTTGCGTGCGAAACCAAACAACATTTCCCTAGACAGTTTACTGTCGTCCATAATCTACTACCTCAGGTGATTGGAAGTAGTTATTAGGATACTCCGGACCTAAGTTTCGTGCTAGTCAGCATTCGCCAACAAGGCGTACTTGAAATCTTAAGGGAAATAGTGTTTTCTGGTGGATTCATGCCACTGTCATTCAACAAAGTAACATCATAGTTCATGCGATATCGACTCACGTGAACCAGTAGCCGGACTCCAGATTGATTATTAAAACCCAACTAGCACTAACGATGAACACGACATTGACCATAACTGTACTGTCACTAGGCCAGTGTTCTGGATAATCCTATGGAAAAAGCTTTTATGAATCCCTCTATTCATGATTTATTCTGAAGCTAAAAGTTATTGTAATCGAGATTTTACATCAGCTGAAGAATCAATAAAAGCCACATAGCACTGAATATATGTTCTTTCCTTGTATGGTACTTATTCATTATAAGGTTTCAAAACAACCACATTCAGATTACTCAATCAGAATGCAACCATCAATAACATTTTTGACTTCAGTCAGTTTGAGATATTTTTTACAATATTTAAGTTAAGGATTTTGCCCTATTCATCTTATAAAATAATATTTTCTCTTGCCCTCTAATTTTAATTAAACTTTAGGCTTGTTCGAAAATGTAAGTTTAAATGAAATCGAAAGTATCATGGAGACAATGGGCAACAAATAATCTAATTCCACTGATTAAGTTTCTATTAACAAAAAATGACTAATATATATATTTATATATATACAGAGAGAGATTGTACCTGTTGTTCAAGTTGAGAATTTACTGTAATTCTGAAATTCGAATTGATGTTGCCTGTTATTGACGGTGTTATCGTCCCGCGCCGCATATCTATCATACTTATAAAGAATAAATAACAAAGATGTAGCTACTCCCATCAATTGTTCCATATATATATATATATATATATATATATATATAACTATTATTGTTGGTCACACGATGTCCTGTTTCAGTTGAGTTTTTTGTTCCAAACATTATTATTATTCTGGCGAACACAATTATTCTCTTATATATGCATTGTATTAATTGTAATGAATAAGATTAGAGTAGAATTGTCTATCACTCAATATAGAATTTTTCTGATTTAAATATATTTATGCACGCATTTAGCAGTTTTTCCTTATTAACTACCTTTCTCAAAATTCCATCATGTATATACATATAAGCGTAAGCGTACTTTTCTATGACAATAGGTGGAAAGCAGTTTTATTTTGTGATAGAAACTAAATGTATGGCATAGCCCCGCCATAACTGAGACTGTTGATACGTATGAGAACAGATTCCGAGATTCTTGTTAATAGTAATGTTTTTTTCAGTTAGTTACTTTGATTAGCTTTACTACATTGTTCTACTCAACAGTGATATTTAGTTATTCATAAGTAATGCTAGAGCCTAGTACAAACGTGCACCGGATCAAGTCGCTGCATCACGACAGTATGAGGTAAGGAAATTAATAAAATGAGTACCAAAATAGTATCAGTACTAGTGATGTTAAGAACGAGTTTAAAGATAGAAAACATGCTGCAAAATAATGAAGTCGCTGGATAAAAGGTGTGAAGTAACTTTAGAACTTCGGATCTAAAGGTAGAAAACTTATCTACCTACGCCCTAGCCAAAATCGCACTTTGTGGTTATAGTAGCCGAACACAATACGTGTCACGGCCACCACAGTTGACAACTCACAATCCTATCAACCAACTTGGTACTTTAATCTACTATTCTTCCTCTAATCTTAGCATCAATCACTCGTTAATGCCCACATTCCTGAGGAGTCTTTAAAAGACATCTATAGTCAAAAACATTCATGTCTTCTAGTTCCATCTACCGTGTTTCGGAACCATAGAACGGACCGGTGAGGAGCACACCAGCCCTTTGTTTGACAGATGAGAACCCTGGCCACGCCCCCATATTGACTAAGCGAAGTCGAATTAATGGCGATACTTCAAGCTGTATGACAATTCAGAGACAGAACATGTGTTAGATCCTAGTTTTAGCTAATCAAGCCTGTTGTCCAATTTGACATAAGGTTTGAACACTAGAAGTCCTTATATGTAATTCGGGGTGCATTTTTAGGAGTAGGATTTCGCGAACTTAGATCGTTAGCATCGGTTCGTGGAAAGAGCGATGAGGCTAGAAGAGAAGAGTTGGGTAGTTTTTGATGCCTTAGATTCGTACTTCTCAGACATTAACATTGATGAAAATCCGTGGGGTAAGGCGGTGTTACTTGTAGGTTCAACCTTTTCCAACTCCCCATCCGTTGTAATGATCTACCGTCCCCCGGAGATGCCGGCTATGACAGAAAAATTGTACTCTCGTCCAACCCCCAGTACATTCAGTAGTGTACTTCATCTTCGGATCCCAAGTTCCTACTTCTAGTCATACTACTCTCCAATCGACCTTCCTAGCATGGTAAGACCTAAGGGAACGAGTGTTTCAACCAATATAGTTCTACTAAGTCCTCACCGCATCAAGATAATAGCTACAGTTGGATATGGTGTATCTTTCGAATGTGTCCTCTGTTAGTGTTTAACTCTTTATTCATAATCTGAATGAAATGAAAAACTGAGACTTTCAAAGACAACTTATAAATATCTGTTTTACATTATAACCTACGATGTCTGAAATCATGATAATTTAGGACATTGCGTACTGTCGAAAACTACGGGCTTCACATTTTATGACATGTCGTCCACTACAGCTGCTCTACATACTTGGAAACCCAACCATTTCGAAATCGGCCTATATATATCTATACCAGTAATTATGAGAACTGTCATCGTGACCTGAAGTTAGTTGAGTAATAACGTTTTAAAAACTAGGTCTACTAGTAAATATTATGAAATACTATGATGTTTGTTTGCTCCATTGGTAAGTATTAGTGGCATGTGAAGAACAAAAATTAATCAAAGGAAATTATTTACATCGTGTATTATATATATTACAAAAGAATATCCAGATATGCAAATGACTAGTCAGTTGATTTTACGATAATTGTATAAAATAGGATAAACATTATTTAATGCTTCATACAGATGTTCACGTGATTTGGCACCTATAAAATTAATATAAAAAAGTATTACTGTGATGAAATTACTTGGTGAAAATGTCAGAAATTATTATTCCATATTATAAAAGATGGATTTTGAGCCAAATAGAGATCTCAAGTTCGCAAAACGCCGACGTAATCCAATCGAGGTAACCAATGAGTATTTTATAAGAAGTTGATGTCGTTTTTAAACAGAACAAGCTAACTGAACAACCTTATGAAGGAAATTGTGCATATTGAGTTATAAATGCTTAACATCAACTCAAAGTTCTATGGAAACTTGCCGGTCAGAGTAATTTTGTGACTATTTATTGTAACTAAATTACTTACGAGTAGCTAATTTTTGTATTGAATAATTTCTCGTATTCCACTGGGTAATCCTAGACTAATTATTCTTTTCGTACGGATTAATACCAAGGTTTAACTTGATAATTTAAAATAAATTGAGCATTTAGATTCTTGCCGATTGGGATATCACAAATGTATTATTACTTAATTGTTCCCTTATTAGCTGATACAATTTTAATTTGTCCCGCCATAACGAAATGGTCATTTGCACTCTTGCCTGTGGGAAGAGTTGACAGTGTAGCTAGGTTGATAATTATTATAGTACCGTTTACTACTAATATATACTAGCATATAAGTATTTCGAAAAGTTATGATAATCTTTAGTCTATAATCGACCTCTGGTGCGTTATTTCGGTGGACCTAACAACTTGAAACAGTGAAAAAAGATTAGCATTTAGAAAATCACTAGTGGCTTAAAGAGATCCTCAAATTCTTATTGTTTAAATCATGAACTGGTTTTAGCTGGACTACTGGACAGTTGTTTTATTTTAATACGAGAAATTTACACCATTGGATATCGGCTCATTGCTCTAGAGGTCAAATAATTGCGCACTAGATCAGTTCTGGGTTCAACCCCCTGTGGTGGGGTCATAGATCCGCGTTGCTGTGGAATGATCTTAAGTATTATTCAATGATAGAGCTGGGAATTAATCTCAGTAATCCATCTCTTATTTTGCACTACGGCGAATGATCCCCTATTTTTGTATCTACTTTTCTGATTTTTTTAGTAAAGCGAAGGGTCCCCATTTAAACGCTTATAAAAAAAAGGATTCAATAGACAAATCTCACGTACAGATTCTTGTCATCTATCCTCTACTACGGTTTATCAACTGATAACGATATCTATATCGTTCACATAAAAGATTGGTAATTTCATATTAAAGGGTCCTGCTGATAGCAGATTTGGGATTGTAGATTTTATGCAAATATCATTCCCAAGTAAACGTATAACACAGCATCTGTTCAGAGTATAATTTATGAAGAATGCAGAGTTCTTACAATCAGTCACCAAATTATAGCTCGGCACAAACTTGTACTAGGTCAAAGTGCCGTACATGACGTGATTACATTAAAAAAAAACGAATAGCAAAAGGTATCGATATAATGTAGTAGCAATGATTATTACAAAGACTAAACATTCAGAATATGGTTCAAAAAGACAGAATAGGAGTTTATGCATGAAGGAATTTACTACACCTCATAATATGGAGAGAGATAAAAAGTAAACGGATCTGCGTCACCTACAAAGTAAAACAAAAAAATGAATCCAACAACCTAGAGCTAAAAGTTGTCTACTACGACTATTGTGTGAAAGCTACATGGATTCCCAAATCTTATTAGGTAGACAGAAGTCTCAAATTATAACTTTCTAAGTAAAGTTTTGTGTAATTGAGAATACAGTTCACTTACCTGTCATAACAATCTTTCCATTCACAAAAATAAGCATTACTAAACGGGGTTTTATTATACGATAAATTAAGGCTGGAAATATTTCCGGTTCATATCTGGAAAAAATGAAGCCAAATACAAGAATACCAGATACATATTTGATTATCCATACAACGGTAAAAAATATATTGAACAACATAACTTGGTCTCCATATATGGATAACGGTTATCTTACATATCCAAAGAAACTGCATTGCCCTTTACGAAATCAGCAGTGAATGACTTTATCAACAGATTCTGTATAGGTTTGGCTACATTTAGGCTCCTGTCAATCTGCTGCTATTTTAAACAAAATGGTTAAGCCCATTTATCACCAACCTTAGTGAGAATTTATGGCCTCATCAATTGATCTCCTTTATTTAACAAATACCTCATTTAGGTCATGTCTCCGGAGCGTTAAGTATAATAAGACAAAATCTTGTACAGCAGACGCCTTCCGACAGACAAACGTGAGTATTATCTGTTCTGAAAAGATCGTTGGCTGGGAATAATTAATCTTTTTACCTATACTCCGGTTAATGAGGGTCCCAAGATAAATGAGGCAGTCGAAGTGTTCAACTACTCCATTTCATAATGACAAACCAGATATCAATGTAGAGTGACTATAAGTCAACATTTTACATCCAAGTGAGAAGTATATTCTCAATAATACTCATTTGTCGCTCCAGGCATTCAGAAAACTGAATTTTGTATGCTTCTTTACCAAACATAAATATATTTTCATTTCAAGTCAATGAGAGTCTTCAAGTGGGAAATCAAGTTATAATCATTATAACAAGTAAAATGTTCTTTTAGAACCGAATACTGTTCTCAATTAGGAAATAACGGATAAGTGAGTTGAAATACAGCAAACAACAGATTACTGAATAGTAAAAACTCATTAAAAAAGAAATATTCCCATAGAAACTAACTGTGTCATCTGTTCGTTGGCCAATTGTACACCTTCCAGACGTATTGGAAATCTCAGATCAGCCAAACCAACCATATTTTGAATAGTAAAGTTCATGAATTTTACCTAGATTAAAAACCAGTTGAATGACTGATAGTTATTTACTGATTTGTACACCGAACTGGTATGTAGATAACACAACTAAATTAATCACTTGTACCAAATTACCTAATCACCTAGATTGACAACGATTAGTGAGTAATCTCTTCACTTCTACCAAGCACTATGTATCAAGTTTTCCACTCAGTGTAAATGGTCCAGATATTAAAATTAAAAATACATATGTCACCTGCATCTAATAGTTATATTTTAGTCATGCAATGTAGCACAGGACACTAAGACTCTATATCCTCATCCTAGGGATAAGTAGACAGATTTTAGTGGTGGAACCAGTAAAATGTCAATACATCGCACAGATAATTTATGTGCACCTGCTATAAATTTCCATTATAAAGTTATTTCACGGTAGAGCATTCACCCAGTAACTCTTAGTTTCTACAGAATTTTGAAATAACCTTTAGGCAAACCAGACTTTCAAAGCGAACAGCTTCATGAACTAGCTTTAGCGCGTCTACAACGTACAGTTGTCTTGATAAATATATACTCTATATTATATACCTCAAAAAAAGTGAAGAGTAAAACTTAATTATTAGATTACAAATAACGGTCTTATTCACACAATCAACGGAACTTGGCATTTAATGAACTTACATCAAACCCAAGTCTTTGTAGTATACGAGCACATTTCCGAGAACCTAAATTTGCATCTGATTCAGAACGTGCACCAGTACACACCATGCGACCAGTTCCAAACACTAAACAAGTGACACGAGGTTCACGCAGACGCATGACAACGCCAGGAAATCTGCGTGGATTGTATTCCGCACTACGGACATGAAGTACCAATTTACGTAACTCAATAGGACATCCTAAATCCACAGTAGAAACCATATTGCTAACAATTGATATAAGAAAAAGATAATAAATCGAGTTAATTTGACCTAATTCGAAGTTACAAAAGCAAGTATAGTTGGTAGCAAATAAAAAGCATTACAAAGAAACCCAACTCAAAACTTACACACCCTTGATATAATGAGCAGTAAACTGCTTACTGTATGATACTTTGGACTAGTCAGTCATACGCAACGTAGAGCCTGGCATATATCTATCGGTTTGTTGCCATGCCACGGCACAGCAAGATTATCAAAACTAATTCCAGTGTAGTAGGAGTAATAACAGTATTAGTAATAGTACAAAAGGATGGTTACGGAAAGAAATGTCTATATACGACAAAACAAACGTAAATAAAGCGGTGTGTGGTTCTAAGAGTAGGTTATTTGCTGAGTACAGGTCCTCAGCTTTGAGCCAGAGTATTTGTTTGGGGACAAATCATACATCCTAGGTGTTCAAAACAACAGTAAAGTTTCAATTTGTGGCCTATTGGTTGAAAACCGAGTGCATTAATCACTAACCCATTGACCTTGAGGCGGCTTTAAGCTAAGTACCTACATTTGGTTAGTAACACAAGAGCTACAACTAAATGGTGTGGACTTGGCTTATTTTGAATAACCTCATTTTAATTAAATTCACAAAAGGTTGTAGCAGTGGCTTCCTAGTCAGCAATAAGATTTCAATCTGTAGTTCAGAATTCCAAGCATCATTATACTCACTTTATTTTGGGCAGATAATTGGGATCTCCAACTCTTGTACAATGTGACACGTAGCTAAATAAAGAAGCTAGTACCTGATAAATTGGCTAGTTATTTCATATGTATGGAAGGATTTAAAATAAAAATCCACCTCTGAACTGTTTTACTAATGATTGTTTAGCAAACAACCAGACGAAATGATACTACAAATAATTGTGTGTTATGTTCCTATGCTCTGATGATTTAACAGATGATAAAAACGCCAATTAAAACAACAACTTTATGATCTTGATATTGTAACAAACCAATGACGCGTTAACCAGTACGGACAATCCAGAGCCAAATCTGATTAGTTCTTCCGACTAACCCTGCCTGTTTGAGTCCGGAACACAGCTTTCACTGTATGAATCATATACTTCAGACATACGCAGTTTATACACGAGTCGCAAAATGCTCTGGTACGGCCAAGAGTGGGGGGCAGAGTCCGCTCTCCCTTTCGAAACGCTCTCACATGGCCACGCATATACAGCCTCTGTCAGGGAAGTCCTACTCACTAACTTCTCGCACCATGGGTGTTGTTTACAAAATTGAGACGACGAAAAACGAATGTCCCGCGCTTTAACCGGGTTGGTGGACATGGAGAGTCCACCTAGGGGAGTTGAAAAACCCTGATTCCAAACCAACAGTGCACATGGGCTCCAGTACCCTGAGGGAATAAATGGCGTATGAACTGATCGTTGGTCACCGACTACCATGGGACTGCATCTCCTTACGATGCTCCACTGCCTTGTGGATTAGACCTTTAGGTCAAAGGCTCGGGGAGTGGCCCCCTAGACCACCTGCTTCGGTTTGGGCCCCGGGCAGTACATCCGGATGTGAACCCCTAAGAAAACCACCTATTTCGGTTTGGGCATCTGGGTAGTATCACAGCTTTCATACAAAGCCCATCTGATTTGTGTATGTGTGTATGTATCTGGTGCCCTCTTGCACTAATATCTGTGTTCAAATAATAATACTATAAAACATAAAATAACAATTATATAAGATCAGACAAAAAAGTGACTGTGGCTAATAAATTGGGAATAACTTAGGAGTAATAAATCGTATAATGACAGTGAATGAGGTAAATAGGAGCTTATAATTAAAGGAAATATAAATATATGAAAAATGGTTACTTGATAGTTATACAATAAGAATATACAAAATAAAAATCCATAAGTGGATCCTAGCAGTTACCATTCACTTATTCTTCGTCCGGATATAACAATGTGCATAGGGTCACATGGACTTTTGATTAAAAATCGAACTAAACTTATATTATCACTATGGGTTGCATGACAGCTGTTTATGTGTTGGAGTGAACTGAATAAAGGTAAAAGATTGGACTTACGTAAGCGGTTATGAGATTATTCCGAATAACCACATAATTAACATTTACCAGTAATATTTCGTTGACAGAGAGACTCTTAGATACATCAAAAAGACAAGAAGTACCAAGTTTCAAGGATAAAGACTTATATTGAGGACAACATATTTAATATGACGGTATTAATATTAATTGTTAGCTATGGGATAAACCGTGATTCAAACAGATAGACGACTCGCCTTGAATAAAATGCCGTAAAGTGTACTCACTGTATAACAGGTTTTTTAATGCCACATGAAAGATCGACGGATTCTGAATCTGGACCAACGGGTCGCTGAGGAGTAATTTCGTTAGTGCAACTGTTACTTGAACCTCCTAACATTATGGGATTGTAGTAAATTCGTCCTGAAAGTAATTTAGATCAATATTTTTAGGAAATATTAGAATTTTTGGGATAGTCATATCATAAAACATGATAGCAAAATCACCAGTAACCTTACAAATTAAATGCTCCATAACCATTAAAGGTTTATGTTTCTGTACCCGATAGGTCTGAGTAGTACTGGAACCGATTGCTAGCTATTAATAACAAACACCCTTTCTGAAAGCAATGAAATACAGGCCTATCATCAAAACACCTTTCTTAAATCAAAGAAATTATTTCAGAGTGGCTATTTAAATAACCACTCTGAAGAACGGAAATTTCCGTTCTTCTACTCGTAATAAATCGTACAACACCCAAAGTAGGTGTCCTAAATTTGGATACGAGACAATATCTAAGCTTAGTAACGTTATGGTCATAAAACAACTCTTCTCTGTGGTAATGATGGTGTAATAATGTAACCATTAATTTAGACCACGTTAACTCTGAAGTGATCAATCTGTTGTTGTAGTAGTAAAATTAACTTTATATACGAAGGATACAAGTAACTATCGATGTGCCACGTATTTCTGTAGAGGACTCAACTAGTCAATTGTACGAAAACCAAACCAACCTTACATTTAAGTTATTTGACCTTAAGGATGACCTAGAGGATGTTTACAATATCCAGTACCTTAAATGGTTCAAATGGTTGTGGACGGAGTAGAAGAAGCTTTCGCTTAACGGGCTTCCGTATCTTATAGGAGTGGATCATCAATACCTCCAGGCAGGAACCTAGATACATAAACGATAATAAAAGAAAAAGAAATCGGCAAATCATAGTAAGATACTATCCTTTGTCCTTAAGAATAGGTAAAGTTTCCTCTTGAAGGACTCCTGGGAACTCATTTTGACTAGCTCGGCCAACAGGTAATCCCAGCATTTGACAAATCTTAGGGAGTAGAAGTTCTGTCTACAGTCTGTTTCGCTGTGTTACCCATCCAGTTTCTGAGTGTTACCCTTAAGGTTTGTGTTGAAGCTAAACTTAAGTAGATGTTTCAGGGGACGTCCAGAAGTGTTAAGGATGATGCAAGCCATCAGAAGGTCACCTCTAAGACGCCTGTACTCTAATGAATAAAGGTTTAGTGATTGAAGGCGCTCTTCATAAGGCTTGAATTTGAGTTCTCAAAACGATTTAATGGCTCGCCGTTGGATACGCTCCAGAGTGTTCTTATCCTTTTGGAGTGAGGGAGGAAATACTATGTTTCCGTACTCTAAATGGGGATGAATGAAGCTGTTAAGGATCATGTAGAAAGTTCTTGCGTCAAACTGGCAAAAAATGCGCTTCAATATTACCAGTGTAAAGTTTGTTCGAGAGGCATTTTTGTCAGTTAGCGTAAGACTTGAAATCGTAAGGTACCAGCACTCCGCAATCTTTCTCAACTTGTGACACTTCTAGAGAGGATTTTCCTTAGCTATAACTGTAGTCTGCAACATGTCTCAGATGAACTACTTTAAACTTTGAAGTGTTGAGAGTAAGTCAGTTGTCATCTGCCCAACTTCGAAGTCGAGTAACATCCTTCCGAAGTGCCGAATTATTCTCTTGGTTACGTATCTTTCTCCAAAGTTTCATACCATCGGTAAAATGTAATAAGTCTGACGGTATCTGCTGTGAAAGATCGTTTATATTAGTCCAGAAAAGAGGTCCTCGTACTGAGCCCTGGAAGACCCCACTGGAAAATTGCATAGCGTCAGATAAAGTGAAGCTAACCCTTACCTTAAAATGTCGATTCTTTAGATATGAGATGAGCCATTCAATTAGAAGGGATTTGTTACCCAATCGTTTGAGCTTATTGATAAAACATATATGGTTTACCTTATCAAAAGCTTTTGAGAAATCAAGGTAAATGATATCAACCTTCCTCTTCCGATCAAGGATGGTTGTCCATCTGTCCACCGAGGTCAACAGGTCGGTTATGCAAGAATGACCCTTCCTGAAACCATGCTGTTGGGGTAAGAACAGTAAATAGTCATGTATGCCGTTGCATATCAGTGACCCCATGATTTTTGAAGGTATAGAGAGAAGAGCCACCGGCCGGTGACTTGAAGGTCCTCTGCGTCGACCTCCTTCAAAAATTAGTATGATGTGAGCCGGCTTCTGAATTTCCGGAAGTTTGCCTGAGCTTAGAGAGTGTGAGAACATCATACTAGGCGGTGTTGCCAGGATTGAAGCTGCTTCCCCCAGTATATCAGAATGAACCATATCTGGGCCTAGAGAAGTGTTTTTTCTTGGGTGCCAGCGTTTCCGGTACACCAAGTGAGCCCCCACGTTCGCTTCGTAAAGTCCTGTGCAGTTGCAGATGAAGCTCTCATCAATACAGTTAATGTGGGTCGGTTGAAATATCCGAGATTATTGTTCAGCCAAAAGGTTATCGGCGTCACCGTCGTTATTGGTCGGTCCATTAGGACCTAGCAGTTGGGAAACTCCAGTTTTGGCTAGTCCCGCCAGTCTGAGCACATTGACTTATATGGGATAGCGTCCTGATGTTCGATGGCATCTATTTATGTTGGTCAGACGACTTTATTTTGGTGATCTTGCGGATCTTTAAAAGCTTTTGTGAACTGGTAAATATCAATAGCAGATGAGACTACTTATTTTCGAACATTAAGGTTTCTAGAACAACCACTTAACATTTCGTCGAACAGTCGTCCGTACATTCAAACTAAGGTTTGACAGGAGAGTTTGAATAATGGTAATTATTAAAAAAGGTGAAGACGTCAAAGTAGAACAGAAATGCATAAATGAAAGCAAATGTCAATGATAATAACAAAAGTTAGACCACAGGACTAGTGTTACGACGGAACTGAAGACATTTGGATAATTAAAACCACTATGTTAAATATTCTTAATTTCACTGTGTTTTTGAATATGTTTGTTTTACTCAACTTCTGAACGTGGTTGTTTATATCATCATATTCGGACATCTTTGGTCTTTGGTCTGGCATTTGAGAGTTTTTGCTCCGGGAACCTACAAAATTGAAGAACGACATTTCGGTTGACTATTTGTAAATTGCGAATAAACTTTAGTACCTGGAGTGAAGTTTGGTTCTATTGTTAATTTGGGTTCGTAAATTGCAAATAGATCTACATACCGTACTTCAGTAACGGGAACGAACAAAAGCTTGAACGTAACAACTAGTATGCTAGAGCGTAGCTGTTAATCTGTTCAAGTCGTCTTCTGTTAGACGCTCGTGATGGCACACTTTAGGAGTGTTGGTTGGTTCGCATGAAGTCGCTCTATATTTTTGGGCTTTTCGAGATCCCCAATGAGCCTTTTCCGCGCTTATTGATTCGAGATAGTATTATATTATCAACATAAAAGTTCACCGAAGCATGAGGATTTTCCGTGAGGTTATAAATATTAGGAATAAAAAGGAATCTACCATAGCTTTTTCCGAAACTTAGGGGAGTGGTTTTTTGATCTAAGTGTACTGAGTCTCTGAGACCAACCCAAGGGATCGTCATGTGTACGAAATTGTTCTGCACTAAAACAAACTTCTTAGTGGGATGACAAAGTGGCGCGTGCAAACATACTTTTCGACTCTAGTAGGTTTCCGTACCTTGGATTCGTAAAATTCATAACCTGTAAAGAGTAAATGGAAATGATCGACGTATGTTTTCAGCACTCTCCAGAATTACTGGAACGAGTAATTTAGCTTTAAAGGACACACTGAAGTTGGTCATAATTTAGTCGAGCAGCAAAATAAGTAATGCCCAGCTTATCTTTTAATTCATTCTGCCTAACAGTAGTTTATATCGCCTGCTTTTTATTAAATACATCGAGCAGAGTTTTCATAACAACGCATGAAAGTAACTGATGACTAATTTGTCGATGTTTAGTTACTTCAGGTGAAGTTCAGCAACTGGCCATTTAAGCTGTGTTCAAATAATAGATGTTTTTCTCTAACGATTGGAACTCATAGACTGTAAACATTAGTGTTTCACTTTCATTTAACGTCAGATTGCTTTATCATGGACCTACCAACCTGAGGGAGTTATATAACATCATTAAAGCATTAATATGAGATTATAAACGTACGATTTAATCACTGGATTCATCATTGGTACGTTTTGATAAGCGATTAAGTTCAAACACTAGCTCGCCACTAACCGGTCCTCACTATCATTTTAAAAGTAACAACGTAACCTCGTCCATAATAATATTAGTTTCCTTCATTGCTATAAATTTTGTTGCAGCAAAGTATTCCCAACATCTACTTTTCAACACTGAAATAGATTTCTCTTTAACATACATTAAAACTGCGATTGTTTCGAAAATGCATTACAAACATTTTTTTCAATAGCTAATATCTTATACGTATTTAAAATAGAAATAAGTTACCACCAGTTGAAATGTTATAAGTATTTTCTATTGAATCATATTTTTGTTGCATGAATTCCAAGGCATCTCATTCCTCGCTCTTACCAAAGGATTGGATTGTTTATTTTCTGGCCTTATTATAAAGTCTCTGATCTTAATACCAGAGAGGTATCGTTACATAAGCTCCACAATTTGATTGCAGCAGAAAAAAACGCTGAAAATCCATTCACAGCATTTTATCGGACAGTTCTATCTTTCGTTTGTTTCTTCTCCCTGTAGGTTTTTTAAACTCTATTCAGATCTCTTTTAACCACATTTCGTGTTCTTCTGTCTTCCTCGTCTGAGCTTTGATTATGTGACTTTGATTGAAGACGAACATTTTGTTATCTCATTTTTCTGTTGCGTACTGCCGGACTATTGACAATAGGGTCTTGTTTGACTACGTCAAAAGTCACGGCATTTTGGTCGTCACGCTGACAGTGAAATAGTTCATATAGAAGATTTCGGAAAGACTTTTAAGTCACTCGAAGTTCATCGATAAATTAAAGTCCCAATGAGCCATCTTCCAGAATCTTTGCAAAACCTACACAGAGTTCGGTGGAAAATGCAACAAAGCCCACTAAACGTTTATTGATTATTTCGCTAGAGAAACATGGTTATTGCTATGGTAATTTGAAGTACTGAGTAAAATTAGCCTGTTATATCAGCAAAACTGATTCACATGCTCCACCGATATATAGTGGGCCAATAACAGAATGTTCTTTCAAGTTTGTTTTCAACGAAGAAAACTGATGCTAAACAAAATGATGAACTTGTCACGAAAAATTTATCACTACAAGATCGAGCACTTGATACATCGACATTTGCATTTTGACACTCCGTTGTCATGAATATTCTTCGATTAAAATTTCAGGAAATTTAGACCTAACGACTTCTAAAAGTGCCTTTGATGCCAAAGTCAAATTAGGAATGGAAGCGACTAAGAGGCTTAAAAAATTTAACACAAGCCACTACAGAAGGACCCATTTTACTGTGAATATTTCGCGTATTTTGTAGCTGCGTGTCATCATTTCTAAATATATATAATAATAATCTATGTGTCCGGTTGTTCTGCATTTGTGTAAGACTCAATAATATTCGACGTGCATTAGATATACTAAAAGCTGGACTAAGGTATGTGCACCTGTCATCACAGTATCAATTTGTACTTTTCACGTATTATGTAATCTTTTCTGTTGTTATCATCGACTCATAAACTACCTCGATTGGTTTAATGATTTCGTATACACATATTAATATTACTGTACATTAAGAGTAAAGCCTGCTGAGGATCTAATTGAAAACAATTTTGTTCGCCTTTATATGTTGTTTAGAAACATTAGTTCATAAGCTAAAAATTGGTCAACCAATTCTAGTTGCCCTGTCCACATACTATGTTTTTTTCGTTTGTCGGAATTTGTTGCTCAGTGTCTAAGAGACTTAGACATGGATCGAATCTACTGTCACTGCTTAAGCCATCTACATCGTAGGGAGGACTGAAATCGTGCTCATTGTTGCTATTTAAGTGTATTGCACCTGAAAATTACTATCGTTTTCCTGTTCGACGGTTAGATGTGTTTTGTAGTTCAAAGCTTCGTTTGATTTGAAAGTGGGTCAGAAATCATTACATTTGTTATTTTTACTTTTTTTAATCTGCTGTGTTTGTATTTGTTCCTCTGGAAACGTTTATAGAAGGCTGGAGTGGCATTACATTCTCTGAATGGGAGCCATAGTTATCCACGAGTAAAGCCCTTCGAATTTCCTTCAAGACCATGTTTCTTTAGTTCTCGGCTTTCTAATAAGTGTGTCTATCCTAGAATTACAGGAGCCTCCAATTTCGAAATACCCACTTTTTCCCTTTGAATGTAATTTTTCATAACACAAAGTTTATCTATTGAGTTCCTATAACTGTATACGTATGATTGAAGTTCATAACCTAACGACACACAGTTTGCGAACTGGGTTCCTGGTTTTCATGGTAAGGACTCTAGGATCTGTTATATGGCCTACTTGATCATATGTTTCTCATAGCTGTTTAGTAACTGTGTGGTGCGCGCTATTTACATCGACATAAGGAGTATATAACGACAGTCAGGAATAGAATGTATTTCAATAGAAGATCGAGAAGGAAAGAGCAGAGAAGGTATGAAAATGCAGGAATAATGAAATCCGAGACGATGCACTGATATTTGCAATAGGAACAGCCAGGTTTGAGATGTGGGTTGATATTTTGCAAATTAAGTATTTGCTGTATGGTTCTCAGATCTTATTGGGATATTCTCTGATTTCGTGTTCAAGTACATTTGGTTGCCCACATTCGTGTTCTTGTTAACTCTCACGTCAGCTATGACACTTCGCCTTTTAACCTGCACGACCCCACCAATTGTTTCATAAGTCGTTGAGTTTGTGATGATTCCTTGTTCTCAGAACCCGTGAGGTTAGTAATTGTTGTTGTCTCTCCAAATCAAAGAGCGACATACACTGAATTACGGCTGCCTCAAGTATATGGTGCAGGGCAATTTTATTCTGAAATTTTGTAGCATTTCAGTCATAAGTGCACCTATGACTTGTGAGTATTTGGTTCGTTGACAGCGGAGTAACTTTTCTAAAACAGGGGTTTTATTTAAATAAACCAGATTCTTAGGTTTCCTGTTCTGTATCCTGGGAGTCTGAAATCATATGCAGCATTAATAGCAGTGAGTATCGGTTCAAACATTTGTGGCAAATCAACGGAAGTCTTCATGGATAAATTTTAGATGTTTGTGTTATCATTTAAGGAATTAATTGTATATGAATGTAAATATTGACGATTATGAAGATAAAAATATATATAAACAATGTGACGATTTTATAATCAGACAAACAGATTTAATTATGCGCTAGCTCAAGAACTAATTGTAGTGAATTCCAAATGCTAGTATCAAAATAATGATAAATGTTCCGCTAGAAATTGTAGAAATAACCAATAATATCAAAATATAAAAATACACAGGTGAAATTCTGAACATTTCTTTGATCGTTCGGAGCAGCGTATTCGGTTTTTTGGGTCATGAAGTCTATAATTATAATAGGTAACTATTATTTTTATATACGGGTTATAATCCGAAGCGACATATATCTGAGGTAATTCAGTAAGATATAGACACAAATAAAATTTGTACTTGTGTATAGCGATTATTTTATTAATATCTGAATGGGAGCTGAATAAGCACAAAATATATGGATGGCAGTGTATATGTGTTCGACAATCAGTATGTCATGCGACCGAGGGAAACACTTAACTTGAAAATTAGTGTTTAACTAAGAAAAAACTTTGTGGTCTATGAAGATGAATATATAAATTACGTGGAATTCTGGAAACTATGAGCCTCTGTTAATGTATTTGTGAAATAATTATGCTAGCCATCTCTGCAGACTGCTTAGATTCTGATTATTTATCACCTAACTACGGAAATACTTTGGAGCATGAAGTAAAAGCTATGATTAGAGACAGAAAGAAATTACTGACCGTTTTATCTACTGTATGTCAAAGACCCACTTCATCGATACATTGGCAAAAGAAAACATTACTGAGACTTGTATCAATCAATTTCGATCGTTTTCTTTTTTAGATTTTAAGTAATTGATAAGTGGAGCTTTTCGTTAGTTTTGTGGTGACATTTCGTTTGTGCTCCACGTTTCCAAAATATATATACGGAAAGCTTTACAGCTGTACGGTAGAACAGAGTTCGAGCCGATATTCTTGAAGTATAAGCCGAGTAGCGAAATGACGAATGATCACATAATTGAGGATATTTAACATGTGCGCCCGATGACTAGCCGATTTAAAAGACTGAAAAAGCTTAACAAATGAGATAAGTCTTTTATATGACTCGTAAAGATGGGGAAAACTATAAATTCTGCAATAAACAGATGATTCTGAGCAGTTGCTAGAACGGTTGTAACACTTACAAATAACAGCTGAGCAAAATTGGAGACGAAATTTTTTAAAATTTGTTTAATAAGATGAAAATTACTGCATTTTGGGTTTTTGTTTTAATTGACAGTATTTTAGTGTGGCATTTGGAAGTCGAGGTCATATGTGGGTTGTGAGTCTTCGTCCCTAAATTGAGTGTGTGTTAAAAAAACTAAGTAATTGTTGGTAAGGATTGATGTTAGGTGTTTTTTAAGATGGTTATTCGGTTTTTGAGGTCAGGAACATCACAGGGTGATAACAAAATCCAACTCACTTATGGTTTTCAGGATAGAGTTATTAATTTCGGTTAGTGGTTTAGATGGAAAATTAGTTAGATATTTTGCAAAAACTGACATCACTCGTAATGCATGAATAATCTGTATTCTTTATATGTTTGTGATGAGCTCTTATAAATCAAGTGAATTTGTATATGAAGGCAACCGGCGAGACTCTAATTTAGGGCGAGCCAATCAGAAGCGTTTGAGGAATTTCAATTATTAGTCAATCAGAAGACAGCATAAAGTAAAAATATATTAAAAGAAAGTAATAAATTACAGTGGATATTCTTCTTTGACATGATTTAAAAACTCGTATGTTAGCATCCTAACCCTAACCTTAACCCTCACCTAACCCTAACCTAAACCCTCACCTAACCCTAACCTAAACCTTAACCCTCAACTAACCCTAACCCTCAACCCTCACCTAACTCTCACCCTAAGCCCTAACCCTTAACCCTAAACCCTCACCTAAACTTTAACCCTCAACTAACCCTAACGAGTTTCTATTCCATATGCATTGTGAATTCAGAAACTCTGAACCTTAACCAAACCTTAACAAGTTTTTAAATCATGTAAAAAAGAATATCCACTGTAATTCATTACTTTCATATAATATATTTTCACTTTATACTAACTTTCTTCTGATTGGCTAATAATTGTCAAGGTCACCTAAGATTCGTTCAAAGGTTGTCCTTAAATTAGAGTCTCGCCAGGCAACCCAATCTCCTAATTCTGGGTAAGATGGTATAGAAAATTTTGGGAAATGGCACGAAAACCCGAAATTTTGCACGAACTTGGGAAATTCCTTGAAACTAGGGATTTTTCCAACAGGGAGATTGGGAAAATTTGGAAATGAATGAACAAGTAAATACATGGAAATAATTACATAGTGAGAGTATAAAAAGGCAGGTAGGTGTAAATAACGTACATAAGTCTTAATTTAAAGAAATCACAACAGTAGTTTTCCGGGAATTTATGTGGGCGAGACGAATGAGTGCGAAGCAGTTTTCTTATTTTAATGTACGTTTTCAACTATAACAAGCTTAAGAGGATGGTATATAGTTACATACGAGATTGTCCGGTCTCTTCTTGCATATCTACTGAGGGAGCTGTGGACACATCGTTTGAGAGAGAGCATCCTAAATAGATTTTTTCGATAAAGTAAGTTCGTTCTTCGATAGAAAACTTTGCTAATGTTATCCAAGGCAGCGATGTAATTCAACGTGGACTACTTTACTATGGTGTCTCGAACCACTAGATGTTACACACGACTATTAAGTTACCTCTTACTCTTCTATGCTCCATGGAGAATAGTTTCAGGTTATTATTCCTTTTCTAATAAAGTTAGTCCTCTAAAACTGTAACTCACTTCCAGCGCTCTTAAAAAGTTATGTCGGTGATTTGAGATTCTGACTAGTGTCATGTTCTTTTATTTATCAACGTGACGAGCATGTACGTTCTCTTCGTTCTGATCTCTCGCCACTCTGAGCATCCTATGCCCGAACATCTATATTGTCAATCGGTGTCAAGTCTTCCACAAAATATGTATGACCCCGGCCTTCCAGTGTTTCCAGTGACAAACTGGTTTCATCATATAGTATTAAAGTATTCTTTGTCTTGGAATCTGTCTACATGGTTAAATTAAGGCGCAACTGACATATCATTTATGAGAAAATGCGTTGATTATCTTTTTTGTCTATACAAAACCGTTGAAAAATATCCGAATCCTTTGGATATTTCTTTGTTCTCTTTTATTTAAACGTGCAATACTAGTAAATTCAGTTATCGAGCGTTAGGCTGACCCAACAAGTATTTTTCTAGTGAAAATGGGACTGTATGTGTAGTGGTAGGTCACGTCGAAAGGAATGACAGCCTATTTCTTGAGTTATTCAGTCGTTGCTCATGGAGTGACAAGCATTACTAACTTTTTTAGATCATGCATTTTATGTCCAATATATAACCTTATCATTACTAATAACACCAATATTTCAACCCCTTTACTATTAGTCGTGGTAATTCACCTCACATTAATATGATGCAATAGCCTAGGTTAATGTCCGCTACAACGTAGGACCAGGCACATATATGCATCGGTCCATGTTGCCATACATCATTAGCACAGCGACATAAATACCGGATTCATAGAAGTAGTTAATTCAGTGGTGGTAATATATAAAAGAAAGATTGCATAGCACAGGAAAAAAGAATTAGTTAATGTATCTTTGTGTCAGGCTGTAAGTTGGTCAAAATGGATTTAGTGCTTCTTCGTCTCATACTAACTTTCCTTTCTTCACTTCGTTTTCGCTTTCAATTCTGGGACCTCATCGGTACGTAAATCTCAATTTTCTGAAAAGCTTCTCTAATGTTGATATTACCGCTTCATCATTCTATTGCAACAGATACAGGGTATTCCATGAACATATACATAACATCCTTCCATGCATCCAGCGTCTTCCATGAAGAAATTGCTCCCAACATACTTTTCACCGGATAACATTGTAACATTTCGGATTGTCGTAACTCATTTAACGTAAATATACTACGCTTCTTTCGCCAAATTTACAGTTTTTTTGTTTACCCGTTTTTCTGTCTCGATTTAGATGAACAATTTTGTTGGACATACGATCTGAAAAAGCTAGTTCGATTTCCTCCAAAACCAATTATTCACCCCAATAAGATTTGTTATGCCAAAAATTGAGTATATTGGTCGTCCATCTTTACACTTCTACGGCAAGCTCCTGTCAGAAATAGCCAAAAACCTTAAAAACCGCGCCAAGGGTAGAGTAGTAATAAAGGAAACTGAAACAGCAGAATTCAAGGAGCCATGCTATTACATTTTAAAAAATGTTGTTCCACTTATGTCTGATAAAGTTAGTCATATTTTCAATAATATGCTTCTGTCTATGCGAACTGCATATTTCAGTTCTTCAAATCTTAGGCCTTTGGTAAATTTAATTCAATCGTTTACATTTTTACAGGTTTGTAATGTAAATAACGTAAATGTAACCAGCTGTCAAGTAATAATCTTCATCAGTCAGTCAGTCAGTAACAACGTAGAACTTCGTACGTACGTACATCAGTTCGAGTTGCCACACCACATTAGCATAGAGATGCAGTGGTCGATTCAAATCCCGTAATGGTAGAGGTAATGAGAGTATAAGCAGTAATCGGGAAGATTAGTGTTTGGAGATGTTAATTAAAGAGTATAATACAGTGAAATAAATTTGAGAGGAGAAAAAAAGAGACAAGGAGGAATAAGGAGATCAAAATTTGGGAGAACACAACGAGTGTATGCACCTGCGCCATTGCAAACGATTCTGAGCCATGTCATTCAGGGTCTCTAACCATCGGTTGCTATCATCTCGCGGTCTCCAACCAGGTAGTCTACACCTACCGACATGACTCAGACCACTTGTCAGTGACTTCATGGACTTGTGCCATGTTTTGGTCTGGCCGCCCCTAGCTTTCTTCCAACCTACTCCTATACCACTGAATATCGCACGTCAAGGCAGTCGGTCGTTGGGCATACGTAACGCGTGTCCCAGCCATCTCAACTGATGAAGTTTCACTACTTCATCAATTGATTTGCCATCCTTACCTAATACCCGTTTCCTAACAACTGTGTTACTTACTCGATGGTCCCATGATATACGAGCAATGTTTCGAAGACACCTATGATCAAATACTAGTAACCTACGGATATCCTCTACTCTTACCGGCCATGTTTCACTGCCATAAAGTAGGACGGAACGAACTGCTGCGCAGTAAACCCGTCCTTTGGTTGATAGACGGATATTTCGCCTACGCCATAAATGACGCAAGTTGGTAAAAGCTAGTCGAGCCTTATGTATCCGTTCTGAGATTTCGTCACACACCAGACCACAAGGGCTGATGAGACTTCCAAGATAAGTGAAGCGATCGACACGCTCAATTACTTCACTCCCTATCATTAGTTCAGGTGTAAATGCCACCCAATCCTGAAGCAACATTTTGCATTTCGAGGGGAGAATCGCATTCCGAACATGCTTGCATTGTTGCTTAGAGTAGTCAGAAGATTGCATTTTGTCAGCGTCTTCGCCAAATAAAACTATGTTATCAGAATATTCTAAGTCAACAAGTGAACCTCCCGGTAGAAGTTCAACCCCTGTAAATTTAGATGAGGAAAGTGTTATCTCTAGAAGTACGTCAATGACAAAGTTGAACAAGAATGGAGATTGATGAATCTTCATCAATAGTGATATACATTTATTAATACCACTTACTTGTTTCTTTTCTTTATTTGAACACATAAATATTGGTACAAGGAGGTACCAGATACATATGCGCTACATAAATCTCAATTGATTTGTGTGAGGGCTGTGATACTGCTCGGGTGCCCAGACCGAAACAGGTAATTTTCTTAGGGAGCCACACCCGGAGCCTTCGACCTGAAGGTCTGATCCACAAGGCAGTGGAGCATCGTAAGGAGATGCAGTCCCATGGTAGTCGGTGACCAACGATCAGTTCATACGCCATTTATTCCCTCAGGGTACTGGAGCCCATGTGCACTGTTGGTTTGGAATCAGGGTTTTTCAACTCCCCTAGGTGGACTCTCCATGTCCACCAACCCGGTTGTAAACAACACCCATGGTGCGAGAAGTTAGTGAGTAGGACTTCCCTGACAAAGGCTGTATATGCGTGGCCATGTGAGAGCGTTTCGAAAGGGAGAGCGGACTCTCCCCCCCACTCTTGGCCGTACCAGGGTATTTGGGGGGCATATCACCTACTTGCCTAAATCGAAACAGGTGAAGTCAATAAATAATGTTTTTATGATTTATGGTGGCCAGATATTTTGATCGCCAAACTAAAGCTTCAGTAAACTACTTAATAGTATTGAAGTCTCAAAATTTGAAAGTGAATATATGGCGTTCCAAAGAACGGTTCTGTTTTCCGTCAATAATGTTTGTTTATACATAAAAGAACGAACAGTTTAAATCGAAGAACCTCTTTATTTTCGAGTACTTTCTTCATCAAAGCAGAGCTTGTTATGTTTCGTTTAAAAAAAAAACTTTTAAGGGCTGGATGAGTCAACTTTTGTCGAAGCATTGCATGAACATCTTCATATTCTATTAGATCTTATTCGAATTAATTTTACTTAAGACGAGAAAATCAAGTCCATCATTCATTGTCTCCTATATTAGAGGATACTGACCAACAGAGCGATGAAACAACACACTTTGGAATGGATGTGCTTTCCTTTGATTCCTACACTAGTCGTAGTCAAATGGTTTATATCAACTCAAAATCCTCACCTTTACTTGATAACAAAAGTTCAGTCAGAATACAAATTCAGTCTCTGTAGGACTCAGAACACGAATATGGTGATTTATGGAATTCTCAGTCAACTTTTGTAAAACTGATTTCTGTCTGTGTTCAGTATAGTTATGGGAAATTAATTAGTCACATCAACTACTCCATCCCTCCGGAACTTTACACTTATCTGCTTAATTACATCATTTATGTGCTCTAGGAACGAGTATTTGTATTAGTTTCGACATACTTATCTGTCAACTAGGTATTCAATATAGAGTGTAAATGTAAGCCTAGATCTTTTAAACTTGATCTAAATAGTCATTTTGGCGGTTACCTAGTCTATCATGTTAATTTCATTGAACTTGATGAGATATTTCACATCACAGTTGAGTGATTAATGTTGTTATAATTGGTGTAGATGAAGCCTAATTTGGTCTACTACATGTATTTCTACTGAAACGTTTTACTTATCACCTTTTGAAAAATAACTTACTGCTTCAAGTAACTTGAATATGCTGATGCTAAATAATCTGATCGAATGTGTTTACGTTTACGAGTTTATTTTTGCTGCTGAATTTCCTATTTTATCATCAATTATCTGGGTTCATTTTTATAAAGTCTGATGTTAGATGTAGAGCATGGGGTATACGGGTATTCCGTGGCCGAAATCTTGGCTATTGTCTCCTACCAAATACCCATGAACCAGATTGGCGTCTTCTATCACCTAGTGAAGCTGAACGTCTAATGTCCATGTCAACAATAACTGATTTGGTCGCTCCGGATGTTCCAGTTAGCTGCGTTGCTCAAGCTCCCCCTTTATTGACAATATTTTTACGAAGAAAAAATGTACTTCCACCACAAGTAGTGGAAGAAGCTGAAAAATCTACTCACTCTTTAAATATACAACAATCAATGAGAGAAGCTAGTGGTTTATTATTGTTAACACCTCACCGCTATGATCCGACAAGTTTCAAAGTAAGTATTGTTTCGGTTTTTAAACTAAATTTATAAATTCATTTACTACTTCCTACCAGTTGTTTTGTTTTTTTTCTCATTCGGTATGTCTCACCAACTATGAGTGAATGAGTGAGTCAATCGCAACGTAGAACCTGGTATGTGTGTACATACTCCATTAGCACAGAGAGATGAAATTGTCAGGCCGAATTCCAGAGTAGTTGAGGTGATAATAGTATGAGTGGTGACAGAAATGACTGGACATCGAAGATAAGATTTAAGAAAATGTAAACTAACGAATTGAAAACAAAAAAAGTTCTTAGGAATTCAGAAGCTCAGGATTTGGGGGAAAACAAAGAACGTATTTACCTGCCCCATCGCAAACGGTTTTGATACATGTCATTCAAAGTCTACGGTAATCATATGGGTCCCAACCAGGTAGTCTACACCCATTAACATGGTTCAGTCCAATGAGTCAACTTATGCAGCTACTATTTGCAATAAGCGATCGATATCCCCTAAAATATTCTAATCCGTCCACCTAGACTACCATCCTGAAATACAGTAAGACTAGACAAGTACTGCACATCATTATATATTATCCAAACTGTAAAACGCATTTTGCAGTGAACGAGAACACAGGTGGGGACAACCGAATGTATGTGAACACAAAATCACAGAACGTCTTAGTAAAGTCTGAGAACCAGATATTAAGTACTTCATTTGCAAAGTGTCAATCAATCGTCTCAGACTTCATTGTTCTATCGTCTCCACACTAATCATTTCCTGTCCTTGTTTTATTCTCTTCGATCTTCTTAAACATTTGCATCCAGGCATTCCACTAACGATTGATGATACACACTACTTATATCTGTCAATATCAGTAGCACACACCACAATGCGATTATATGTATACAATAAAGAACCATGATACACCATAAATAATACATTTCAGTGTATGAAAAACTAGGACATCTATAATACAAAACTGAATAGTAGGTTAACGATTAGATCACTGTTATTAATGGACGAAATAAAAGTTTACAATTAGAACAATTTCTAACACTACAAATCAATTATTTAATAAATTGCACATTAAAAAATATTTACACCGATTCACTGATGAATAGCTCCTGAATTTTCCTATATCTATTTATTTACTCATTAATAACATTACTCTGTATGATTTTATGCGGTATATAATTTGACCAAAATTATTCATTCCTAGTGGACACGGAGAGTCCACCTAGGGGAGTTGAAAAACCCTGATTCCAAACCAATAGTGCACATGGGCTCCAGTACCCTGAGGGAATAAATGGCGTATGAACCGATCGTTGGTCACCGACTACCATGGGACTGCATCTCCTTACGATGCTCCACTGCCTTGTGGATCAGACCTTCAGGTCGAAGGCTCCGGGTGTGGCTCCCTAAGAAAATTACCTGTTTCGGTCTGGGCACCCGAGCAGTATCACAGCCCTCACACAAATCAATTGAGATTTATGTAGCGCATATGTATCTGGTACCTCCTTGTACCAATATTTATGTGTTCAAATAAATAAATGAAATCATTCATAGTTGTGTAAAATAAAACACACGTGTAGGTTGGTGACAGATTTAGTCGTATACACGAGCTGTTTGTTAATATTATTCCTTTCTCATCCCATTTGTCATGCATAGATTTGTGCTGTTGGTGCACATTCGATTGGTTTAAGCTATTGTATACTAAATAGTTTATTTATCTAACTTCTTTAGAATAAAAACTACGTAGAATATGTTACTAAACTATACGAAAATAAACAATAAGCCACCATCAATGTAGTTGGTAAATACACCATCTATACTAATAACTGAAAGTTTTCATAGTTAACAATTATTCATTAAGCAGGCTGATATCAATCTACAAATATTTTCAGAAATCTCAAACAGACTGTAGAAAATAATAAGTTTATTCTCATGAACTTCAAAAAAGTATAGTTTATTTCCTGTTCTTCAAATTTTGGCATTTCTTAGTCATACGACTGTGCTTTCTCAGCGCAAGAAAAACAACATAAACGTCGGATGAGATTTGATCAAGAAACAAAAGCTTTCTGGGGGCAAAACCATGTTGTAAACGTACATTTTTCCTGAATTTCGTGCTGATACAGTGTATGACAACTTCAACTGATGAACGTATGTGCTAGATTGCTTACGCCACTTATGAATAACTGAATGTGTTGATGAAAATCAATGAAGTTTCACGATTAAGCAACCCAACTTATAGAACCTAACATTAATGAATCCCATGTTCTCAGTCAGAATTTTCACCATCTTAGAAACATGATTACATTCTGCATCCTTAACTCATTGATTATAAAAAAAACTTAAAACACTTAATGATATTAAGAATTTGTATATTAAAATGACAGGCTTGGTGATGAAATATTATTGGATATAGACAACTGATTAATCAATTAATTGAGCTCTATTTCAAAAATGCTTTTGATTGATCTGTCTTATTTAGTCTATTGTTGTAGAGTTTTATACGTCCTCAATATCTCAGTAATGACATGAAGAAATCTATAAACAGCGATAACTGGAATGAAGAAAACTTTAAATTATGTAAAAAGAATATTCTCTTCAATAAATTCTCTTTAGGTTCTACAATGGTATATCCAAATTAATAATTCAGTAAGTGGTCAGCTTTCGGCAAAATTGATCGTTTAAAATTAATGTATGTGAATTTGGGATTTTTAGTAACATATAATAAAATAAAATCAACAACTTGAACGTTTCAAATCAAATGTTGTTGATTGCTGCTGTCCGTTTAAGAACAGTCTATGCAAATGCAAATACATTTTAAGTAAAAAAACACACCGGGGGGGACCTATTAATGGACTTATTAATAACAAAAATTTGATTATTACGAAACCCGAAAAAGGAACAGGAGTTGTCCTACCAAACAAAAAAGACTACATTGACAAGATGAATAAAATCTTGATTGATAATCTAAAATTCCAAGAGAAAATATCAATAATATGATAGAGAATGAACTTACAATATTTTTAAAAACGTTTAGTGATCAACAGGTAGTCCCTTCAAACTTATATGAAACAATTAAGCCGATAGGTTTCCATTTACCAAGGCTATACAGACTACAGAAGTTGCTCAGACCGGATACCCCATTGAGAGCGATTTTGGACCACAAACATCAAGTGGAGCATAGTGTTAAGGATGTAATTCAGTCCATTATCAAGGTCAGAAAAATAAACACTAAAGGACAAACGATTATCTCCTCAAACGTAACATCATTGCTTACATTGTGTACGTCCCACTCAAGGATATTGTCAAAAATATACGTGAACAACTTAAAGAATAAGAAATGAAGACTACAATTCATGTGGACATCATTAAGAATTTATTACTAAAATATGCTATAAACGTAAACTTCAATTCAGTGGTGAAATATATGGACAAATAGATGGTGTCGCTAAGCGTTCATCACTAGCCCCCATATTGGCTGTCATTTTCCTCACTAAACTGGAAAACGGTCTACTGGTACAGCATATTAACGAGTTTCTATCCTTTTTAACGACCATACTGACCAGATAGAGACACTCAGGCGATTTAATGAAGTTCATCCGTCTAATAAATCTACCTGTGAGGAAGTAAGTGGAAGTAGAATAGCCTTTCTTGATGTCGTACTTACAAGGGAAACAGATGGGTCACTAAGAAGAAGCTTAAACAAGAAAACATTTTGGGCTGGCAAGTATACAACTTTTCTTAGCTTTATTCTCTAACAGTATAAAAGGAACCTAATTAAGACACTTCATTACAGAGTCCAGACCATTTGCTCCTTAGATACGATTGGAGAAGAAATGAAGACACTGTGTACTCTAAAAGGAAATGGATATCCGGAGAAATTTATAAATAAACATTTAGCTATGAAAAGAGAGCATAAGGGAGGCCTGTCAAAAAGACTGTAATTTAGAGGCGATGCATCCAGATAAATGCTAATACTAAAGTTGCATAAATCAATCAAAGGAACCTTTAATGCTGGTAAACTACAATTAATGTTTTCCCCACATCTAATGATCACTCCGAGATTGAAAGATAAATCACCTAGACTAGCCTCCTGCTTCTGTGTTTGTCAATTCAACTGCTCATGTGGAGCAATCTATGTTAGCAAGTGATCCAGGAATCAGTATTTTCAGTCTCGCGAGCACCTCCAAATTTGGTTAAGCAAAGGTATAGTTAAAACTATTAACAACTCGATTCTAGCTCGTTTAGTACGAGCGGGAGCACTCATTAACAATAATGTATCGTGTTGACAGCAATCTGCCTAAATCCATTAAACTATGAATCATTCATACGCCTGAAGCAATAGCTATTGTAATCAAAAAGGAGGAAGAAATATGTTCAACCGCTTCCTTTATCTTGGCTAACTCCTAACCTAATCAGTTAATGATCATTTGACGATATGGTGGTATCATTTGATTAATGTTCATACAACCCTCCTCTTTGTATTTTCATAGTTTAAACTTAATTCCACATATTATTATTGTCATTATTGGTATTGGCATTATTATTGTCAAAACACTTGCATACCCTTCGAGAAATTTGTTCAGCATCCACCACTACTTACTAATTTGTACCTAATTGATATTATTCTACATATTACTTGATTTCTGATTTGCAACTACATTATTATCTATCTCACCCCACGTTAACCATATTTTTCTGATCATTATTTATCTCACAATTTCATTTAACGTATAAACTTTTATCAAGTTAACTCTTCATATTAGTTATTCCAACATTATCGAATTAAAGTGTAGGGTTGTGGAGTTTGTTGAGTTTTAATTGAGGTCATGAACCGATCAATGTTAGATCACCATTGAAAACCTGGGATCACTGGACCGCCGTTTCGTCCTAGTATGAGACTCCTCAGCAGTGCCCACCCACCAGTGGTCTAGAGGTTAAGTGTTCGTGTGCGAGATCGTAGGTCCTGGGTTCGAATTCCGCATGCGGGGTCGTGGACGTGTGCTGCTGAAGTGTCCCATACTAGGACGAAATGACCGTCCAGTGCTTGCAGGTTTTCAATGGTGGTCTAACATTGATCGGTTCATGATCTCAAGTAACGATTTTATTTTACAGTCTTAAATTCACATACTATAATTTTTAAACGATGCATTTTACCTTAAACCTGACCATTTTTAGGATTATTAACTTGGATATATAATTGTAGAGCCTGAAGAGGATTTATTGAAAAGAATATTATTCGTTCATATATCTGTATGTGAGCTATGTTTCGAAAGAAATATGACCGTCTTCTACATTTTCATCTACAATTATCATTGAAAATTTATTTCATTACAACTTTTTACTCCTTAATATTCTTTCTCCTGCTTTCCTTGTTCATAAGATACCTATATTGTGTATTATTGTAATGTCTTTAAACAAAACTGATATGCTAGTGTGGAAACTTGTAACTGAGTAGTGATTATTACTGCTGATACGGGTATTTGCTAAAATCGCAAAATACTTTTATCGGCTACTCATTGCAACAGGCCGAGACTACTACGTTGGCGCAAGAGAAAAACAACGTGACTGTAGAAGCAGACTGATTTACTTACCAACAACTACTAACTAAACAACATCTGCAGTAATACTAATGATAACAATAGTAATAGTAATGAATTACATACCATTTTAAATGTTTAGGTTAATTAATAAATGGAATAGAACTAGTCGTTAATCAGTAATCTAAGGTATATAGAGTTTGCAAAATCATTAAGTTCACCGACTTGACTGAGAAACATAATTCATATACTTTGTTTGTTCTTATGTTCTGCTTTATTACTTACGCCTGTTGCCCCTCGTGGTGGAGTATACCGCCCACCGGCATTCTCCACTAAACTTTCCTGGGCAGCATCATTAATGAACAAGGAGGGTCTGATGCAAACATAGAGGCTCTGCTTTGTTACAACTGATTCGTATTCATCCATTAACCACATCCTATTTGTTAGCCTACTCACAAATTTTTCATTTTACTGACCGTATCCCGGATTTATTACTGTTATCTTCAGATCATCCTCGCTCTTAATAGTTTATGGTGTTGACGCACGTACTTCTAGCGTTATTGTTTCGTTTGAATTTCATACTTCCTTACTTTTAGTAACTGGTCATTTTATTTGTCTCTAAATTAAGGTTTTTGATCATAGATGTGTTCGAAGCATTGCTTGTGTTTGGGGGAACGACTGAGTGACGTTGATGTTAGCCATGGAGTACTTGGCAAAGATGATAGATTGATTGATAATGTTGTAAATCTCCATTGACTGAAGTTGCGTATGTCTAAACACAACCCACCCGAACGAGCTATGTTTCATAGTTCAAAAGTGAGTTGGAATAATGCTAAACGAAAATGGAGCATCAGTGCATGAAGTCACAAACTATTAGAATCAGCCGTGTTGGTCGATGCAGACTACTTGGTTGGGGTCCGCATTATAATCTTGATCAATTGTTGGAGTTGTTAACCAAAATCGTTCATAAATACGTCGGCGCACTCACTCTTTATCGTCCTCTCGACTTTTAATCTCAGTATCCCGTCACATATACCTTTCGACTCTGTCTTTCTATGCCATATTCTCAAGGTTTAATGTTTCTTTTTATAGGTGCTACTGCATTATCAATCTCTTTCATTATTTTCGTATCATTGTGCTAATCTGATGTGGCAACTTGAATCAAGCCACATATGTGCCAGTCTCTATGCTGATGCTATATCTGTTTGTGTATCTAAGTGTTATTCGAAATTAAACCCAGCATTATTTTGCCTTTTAAATTCAACTTCATTCGTGATAAAATGGCGTTATATTTGTAATATTTCAACGAGTTGAAAACTGAATTTCTTACGTTTCGGGACTCAGTTTAAATCGCTTCTTCAGAGAATAAATTGAAAACCGAACTAAATTACAAGTTTAAATGGTGCAGATAAACAAATCAAGAGATTTTTAATGCAATCAAAACAACTGTAATCATGATAATGTCTTGTAATTAATGTTAAAGATGAGGAATCATAGTAATGTTACGACCAAATAACCTGATGTCCAGACCTGTTGACATGTTAAAAATTCCTGTTACTGATCCGCAATCTGAAAGTAGGAATGCGACAAATGATAAAATCTCCACATGTGTAGCTTATAAATTCACATGATTAATTGGGTGAATTGTAAGGTTACAATGCACCATAAATAAAAAGTCGCGTTATGTACTAAACTAATGGGCTCGGGGCACAAAATTAAAATGCTAGGCCTATAATTAGTGTACAATAGTTTGAGAACAGAAAAAGATTTGAAATCAGTAAACCAAATGGAAAGTTGTAATTCTGGGAGTTTGAAAACCCATTAGACTCAGTATTAGTAAATTGCATGTTACAAAATATGAATACTAATGTATCCAAAAACAATTCACAAAGTTTATCACTCTGATTTATCCACCTCAACCTAACAACCTGATTGTATTGTCTGTGTATATTTCTTATCTTTTCCTATCTAATTTAGGTTCCTATTGAACCGACTTCCGAGGAGAAATCACGTATGTATCCTCCATATGAATGGTCAGCTAAAAAAGGATTAATTATAAAGCCAAATTTGGATCGAGATTCTTATTTAATTCGTCGATCTGATACACCTGGATTGTATTGGCGTGTTCATCTAGCGAAATCTTCCAAAACAGAACAAGATAGTGAAACAGTTTCATAGACAGGAAATTGTTATCAAAAGAACTGGATTAGCTATATTCTTGATTGTTGATAATACAGTACTTATGTATGTATATACTACTTCTATTACGTGTTTTATTTTATGCTATATGTGGTGAAATATTGAGTTCCTAAGTAAGTCATGTAGGACTTGTAGTAATGGTGTAATGCTTTGATTTAGTATATACTGCTATAATCCTGGATAATATCATAAGTCACAAAATGGTGGAAACTTATATTTAATACATAATTACAGAGCTGAACTATGTAATTATTCAATTTGTCGCAACGTTTGGTCGAAAATGGAACGATTATGAAGACTTGTCATTTGAGTGGATGTGTATCAACTGGTGGTAGATTTTCTCGGTCTACATCGCTAAACTGTAGTGATAGGAACACCTTTAAAGAATATTTATCCGTGACTGTTCAGCAGTTTATTTTCCTCTTAAAGGTTCTTATAGTTAAAGTCAAGAGATGGCCTACTCGTACTAAACTTATGGTTGTCAACAATATAGGCAAACACTTCTAACACCAACTGCAGCGAATAAAAATCTGCCCTCTGTATCTTCAGGTAATTAACAAAAGCAGTTAAATTCGTACTTTTAAAAAGTTGATTAGGTGTACAGCTATTACGAGCTGTTTTTGATGATTTAATCAATCCTAACGTAGAGGAATAGTGACAAGGTAAATATTTACTCGTAGTGTGGCGGACGCTACTCACAAGATTGCTTGTGAGTAGTATGTAGCGGGACGTGGCGTCGAAAATGTCACAGTCATCAGACGGAGAGAAGAGTCTCAGTTAATCAAAAGCACGGCGAAGGCAGAACAGTTGGTGACCAGACAAGATGACAGTTCGGATCTCAGAACACACTGGATGATGCAAGTGGATGATCGAAGGCCATGTATGCGTATAGTAGACTAGCTCGGTATTCACCAACCCACATCATTTACAATACTGCATATGAGGAGTGGGAGTAGCATATAAATATTGGGATGGATAAATCGTTTGATTTTCGGCCCTTTATGTCAGTCCAGTTACGCTGAATCAAGCGAAGAAATAAACTATGGGTAATGAAGACACTAAGAGTGGTATGGAGCTTAGGAAATAATTAAATGAGTACTGGACAGTTTTATGTTTAAACACAGAGAACGCTGGATGTGTGGTTGAATATATTCCTTTAATCCTTCCTGTCCTGTACATGACCAAAGAACTAACAGCACTTGCCCGAAAAATAGGTTTTTTTTGCTGGAGTAGGTAAACGCTTAAAATTAATTTTACAAAGTCAATGACAATTAGTGCAGTTACCAGTCTTTGGTTTAAGCCGCATTGTTTAAAGTCTTAGGAACCATAAGTGACAACTTAAAATTAGTCTCCATAGTTTAGATAAATCCTTTAATATCTTATTAACGTGTCCAAAATAGAATATGATTTATGTCCTGTATTCCGGAAGTAGTCTATTGGGTTTATCCAATTGTTGTTCATTCTTCTCATGTCTATCTCAACTTCTCGGCGTAATGTGTTCTTTGGTCTTCCTCATTTTCTTTGACCTTAAGGATCCCAAGTGATGGTTTGCCTGGTAACGCAGTTAGTTACTTTCCTCAATGTGTGTCATATCCACTTCCAGCGAATCTTCCCGATTTCTTCCTCCGCTAGGATCTCGTTTGTTCTCTCCCAAATTTGGTCGTTGTTAATAGTGTCCGACCAACGGATCTGAAGTATTTTGAGTAGACAACTGTTGATAAACACTTGTATCTTCTGAATGATGGCTTTCGTAATTGTCCAGGTTTCTGCCCCATACAGTAGAACTGTCTTGACATTTGTATTGAAAATGCTGATTTTGGTGTTGGTTGAGAGACAATTGTTTTGATTTCCAGATGTTCTTCAATTGTATATATGCTGCACTTGCTTTGCCGATCCGTGCATTCACATCTGCATCAGATCCAGCATGCTCATCATTGATGCTGCCCAGATCTGTAAAAATCTTTAGATCCTCCAAATCTCTGTCAAGTGTGATTCGATTGGTGCGTCTAGTGTTGTATCGAAGAATCTTGCTTTTCCTTTTGTGTATGTTGTGACCTACTGCTGCTGAGGCTACTGCCACACTGGTCGTCTTCTCCTGCATTTGTTGTTGCGTGTGCGATAGAAGAGCCAGATCATCTGCGAAGTCTTGATCATCCAGCTCCATCCTAACTGTTCACTTTATCTCATTCTTCTCCCCAGATATTGACGTCTTCATAATCCATTCGATCACCAGGAGAAAGAGAAAGGGTGAGAGTAAGCAACCTGGCTTGACACCGGTCTTCACTTCGAACGAGTCTGTCAACTGTCCTGTGTCATACAGTTGTCTCATGTTTCCTTCTCTTGCAGCCTTTTCCCCCATCATTGCTAAATCTTCCACATATTTACTTTTGTCAGTTCTGATGCTTCTCTTCACTTACTTGTTTACTTCTGTGTAGTCATATTGTGTGTTGGCTTTCTCTGCTCTTATTCGGCTGGTATCGATTGCTGCCTTCTTGTTCCTCCTTGAATCCTATCCAGTGTATCAACAGTGATCCATTCCTTGTGATAGTGCTTTTTATGGCCCAGAACATGACATGTTGAAGTGATTGCATCATTGATCCCCTTCCAGTTGTTCTTCATAGGAGTTCCCTTTCCATTGAGAGTAGATCGTGAAAGGTATGAAACCTATTGCTGAGGACTATTTTTGAATTCGTTGATTTTGTCAGTATCCCGAAGGAAGGCCGTAATAAACTTGTATGATGTTGTCCGCCGCGTTCTTCAGTGCTTCTTGAGTTTCAGTTTCATATTAGTGACAAGCAAGCTATATCAGCTCCTCTCTTGGTTCTCAAATCCTTCATTGTCCTCATGAACTTTTTATTGATGTAAATATAGTCGATTTTATTCTGTGTAGTGTGATCCGGTGAAATCCATGTGGCTTTGTGTATGCCTTTCTTTAGGAATATGGTGCCGCCTATGACCAGTTTATTGAAGGCACATAGATATGCAAATCTCTCACAGTTTTCGTTCCTTTCTCCTGGTCCATAATGTCCCATGATGTTTTCATATCCAGTGTTGTCCATTCAGAATACCCAGGTCCTTTACTGGGCAGTTCTCAACGATGGACTGCAGCCAATCTCAGAACTGATCCCTAACTTTTTCATTGTAGTCGTTGGTAGGCCCATAGCATTGGATGATGTTCATTGTCATGCCCTCTTTCTTTGTTTTGAAGGAGGTTTTGACGATCCTGGATTCATGAGATTCCCATCCTATAAGTGCTTTTTGTGCTTGGTTGGATAGCATCAGTGCAACTCTTTGTATATGTGGGGCATTCTCTTCTTCATGACCAGAGTGTAACGTCAGCTCTCCTGAAGCTAGGTTTTGTTGTCCAACCTTCTTCCAATGTGTTTTACTGATTCGAAGTACCTCCAGGTTGTATCTTTTCATTTCTACAGCAACATGGATGACTCTCCCGGTCTTCAACATTGTACGAACATTCCATGTACCTAAATCAATCGTGTCTAGCTGTCAGGATGGGTGTATCAGCCTCGTAACTTCCGAAGGAACTTGGCTTTCATCATGAGACATCATAGCTTTTCCAAATGAAGACATTCTAACTCTCATTACAGAGTTTAGGCGGTTTAAATTATTTTTTCTGGTTGGCGTTTTTTAGCGAGTTATTTTTCTACGGATGGGGTCGCTAACCCCATGCACAACCCTCCTCCTTTATCCGGGCTTGCGACCGGCAGTAACCCCAGAGGGGCTCCAGGCGGAGTTTTAATTGCCATACTCATCAGAAAAACCCATAATTTTATGAAGAGGTGTTGAATTTAACAACTATTATATATGGTACATAGCTGGCAGTAGGATCCAGGACGTATGTTTTGTTTTATTTGGGATTTGTCATTTGAATGTGTCTGAATTCCATTGTTTTTGTTCACACTGAGGTCCAGAACGTAATTCCTATCAATTAAGCATGGATACATTATCGACCAAGTTACTGAGTTCGTATAGTCACTAACGTGTTCAGCTGGGCCTCTTTATATCCAACTTTTCATCCCAAAACTAATACATGATCATTTACTAAACTTCTTGGAAGACTTTTCGGAACTGTATCCACAACTAAAAACATCCAGAATTAGTGCGTAATAATTCACTATTGTGTCAGTGATTTAGAATCATATTGTCACTTTTTGTAGACTTCAATTAACATCAATATAATCCAACCATTCTCGTAGCATCAGTGTAAAATATCAGTTGTAGATTTGTAGATCAAATCCTTGTTAACATTTTTCGGACTATTTTCCCTAAGTGTGACTTTGATCTTTAAAAAAGCTTATATTAGTCTTACAAATCAAGAAATCCGCTAACATTAAACTTTATCCGGTATTATGCAATAACAATAGATTCCTTTTGATGTAATTTCAGTGCTCGAAATCATTTAATGAGTGATCATAACAAACCTAGTCTTAGCATTCAAATTAAATTCGAGAAAACATTTCTGTTTATATTGACCTAATGCCATACTTTAGTATTGGCTAAGTTTACATAGATATTTTATTTAGTTTTCAATGGAATGTATTCATAAGTTTGCCTAACCAGAAATCAATTCATCTGTTACTGGACTTAAATTATTGAGAACGAAGAGTTTATTATTTAGTATTTTATCTCAATATATTTATCTACTTATTAGTAGTTAGATCAGTCGAACAAAATTTACACAGAAGTGAAAGTTGAATTTCATAAAATAATTATTTGTAGTATACTATTAATTTTAATGTTTTCTTCCTTTACAAAAAATTCACAGGAATGGAAATCAAGGTTATAATGATAGCTTATTTAATACTATTCATAGTTTGTACAAGTTGTTCAGTAAGTGATTTTTCCATGGATCTTAAGTGTCGAAGATCTCCATCAATTCCCTTAAAACGTATACCATATGTCTGAAATCTTGGCAAATGTACAACTTCCATTTCCCATTTTAACAAAGAAGGTATTTTATCACGGTTGTAACTATTTTTATAAAGCTTACCATGATTGAACTGTGACGGAATTTTAGTGCACTGACTATCATTGTGTTTATTTTGACTTTGATAATTACAATGTACATGTTGTGAGCAAAGAATATGATAAGGACTGAGATGTACATGATCAATATAAGACTTCTTTACAACTTGATCTAATGTACTGAGTAGTAATTTTAGGTTTGGATTCTGTACAGCTACTCCATAGGACCAATTCAATTGACTTATTTTAGGGACTTGTGTAGTGTTATGTTTTTGTGGGCTGTTATTATTATTATTATTATTATTATTATTATTATTATTATTATGGCGAATGTTATTTATGCTATTGAGATTCTGTCGGGATGTTCCGCTGTTGCTCCAACATTGGCCGAAATTAGGTTTGGTTGTACAACCATTTGAATAGTGTAAATTGTTTACTTTTGGAGCAGTTGTACCTGTCAAATATTTAAGTGAAAACAAAGAGTTGAACATTTAACAGTTTTCGAATTTCTAAACAAAATCTTTGTGATGTGAGAAATGGTTTTGAAGATGTTATAGTCAACGACTTAGAATTATTAAATAGTAATTCTAATGGTTCAGTAACAAATGGAACTGCTGGCCAAATTTTATTTCAAAGTTTACTCAGAAAATCAGTTTCAAATGTAACTAAGTTGACGTATCAGACTTGAGGTTG